CCCCCCACCACCACCCCTAAGTTTCACTGGTTATGACACGTGTGTCCGTGTGCTGGTTTGCTTCTCCACAGCGACAACCAGCAGCTGCAGCTGCTCTACGCGGAGTGCATCCTGTCAGTGCTCAGCAGCTGCTCCTCCTCCATGCACCTGCACCGGGGCTTCACCGACCTCATCTGGTGAGCACGCCTCCGCCGGCACCCACCAGCATGACTCAGGGAATTGGCACAGCACCCATGACCTCCCAGCATTCCTCCAGGCTGATGCGGGAGGGGGGTCGTCCTAGAGGGGCTGGGTGTGCTCATGTGCACCAGACCAAACCACAGAAATTGGAGATTGCTCTCCCACACAATGCCTCTGGGGCTCTCTGACACTCTGCCTCCCTGTTGGCTCAAGAGTGACAGGAACAAGATCTCTAGCTTATCGGCCTGCTCTGGAAATGTGGGAACGTGGAAACGCGCCAGAAACTTGTGCCGGGAGGAGGCAAGATAACGAACCTTATTCCTAGCCCTACCTAGTACTTAGCCATCTTGACCTAACGTAGACTCTGAGCGGTGCACATGGTCAACCAGTAGGCAGTAGGCAGTTCACCCCCGCTCCCCCAGGTGCCTCAGCAGAAAGGCCCGGACCAGGGGCTCAAGTAGCAAGGAAATGTTCTGAAAAGGATGATGGCAACATCTGAACCAATGTGCTTGACACAATGGATGTATGGATTGTGATAAGAGCTGTAAGAGCCCTCAATAAAATGGCTAAATAAATAAATAATCACTACCAAGAGAAAGAAAAAAAGAAGAAAGGCCTGATGATTGACATCTTCAAAAAAAACAACAACAAACAAACAGCCACCGAAAGCCCTGCAGAGCACAGTGCTTCTCTGATGCACATGGGGGCCCTGGGAGACATCCGCTCCAACTGGCTTTTCATGAGAGCCATAGGTGACAGGCACCCCCAGGCTCCCAGGCAGCAAGTCAAATGCCAAGTGTCCATGTGGCGTTTAAAATTGGCTTCTAAATGAGAAATGCCCATAATCTGGTTAGTCGTGGTAAAAGGAACCTTCGTAACTCAGCCACAGGACCAGGGATCCATTTCTTTGTATAGGCTGGGCTCATAACACCTCTCCCGATGTTCCAGTGGGTAACCCCCGCTTGAGTCAGGAGGCAGAGTTTGGGGCTGGTGTTCCCAGGAGGGATGGGGAGACGTGGGAAACTGAAGCCGAGTCGGGAACCCAGCTCAGACCTGGCCTATGTCCCTGCAAGACAGTGCTCACAGGTCACTGTTTGACTCGCTAAAACCCCTGTCTCCTCCTCTCTCTGCCCAGGAAGAACCTTTGTCCGGCTCTCATTGTGATCTTGGGGAATCCAATTCATGACAAAACCATCACCTCGGCCCACAGCAGCAGCACCAGTACCAGCTTTGAGTCAGACTCGGCCACGGGAGTTGCTGACCACGGCCGGGGCTCAGGCTGCTCCTCCACGGCGCCGGCCCTGAGCGGACCTGTGGCTCGGACCATCTATTACATCGCCGCCGAGCTGGTCCGGCTGGTGGGCTCGGTGGACTCCATGAAGCCCGTGCTCCAGTCCCTGTACCACCGCATGCTGCTCTACCCCCCGCCTCAGCACCGGGGGGAAGCCATCAAGATCATGAAAGAGGTAGGGGCCGTGAAGACGTGCACTGCTGCATCCCCGGGAAGCACACAGAAATGCTACATCTTCACTCGCTCCCTGCGAGTGCTAGGGCGGGTTCAGTCCTTTGGGAGGCAGGTGGGACTGGATGACTGTGTCACCACCCAGAGCAGTGAGTGGGCCTCCCTGTGGAGCCCCACCCCTGCCCCCCACAGGGGTAGCCTGGCTGAGCAGGAGTGGAGCAGCCCAGGAAGAGGAGAGAGGAAGAGGCTAACTGACCCCATCAGCTCCTCCAGCGCCATGTACCCAGGAGGTCCAGGCCCCTTCTGGACGGGATGGGGAGGAGGGCCAAGATTGGGGGTGCTGAGGCCCATTCATTGGACTACTAATCTCAGTCATTCTTTGAAAGTTGGGCTGTCAGCCCCCATAACGATTTACAGAGTCCCTAAGAGTCGGAATCCGCCCAGTGGCAGTGGGTATGTAGTTGGGGGATTCTTCTACATAGAAGAGCCCATTTGCCTGAACCTACCCATGTAGCCCTGGTGGTGTAGTGGTTATACATTGGGCTTCAGTCCACGTGGTCAGAAGTTCAAAGACACCCGCAGCTATCCAGGAACAAGACTGGGTTTCCTACTCCCGTAAAGAGTTACCGTCTAGGAAACACGTATCGGGGCTGTGAGGAGTCGGCATTGACTCGATAGCAGCGAGTTTGGTCTGGGGTGGATCCCTCTGAGGGGGGATCGAGTTCGTGACAGGGAGAGAGTGAGGATGGACCACTGCCCTGCTAGAGTCCCTTGATGCCCCAAGGCGAAGGAAACCCTTTACATGTAAGAGTCCATGTGTATTGCTTTCAGTACCAGCTTCTTTACGACCGCAACAGCGAGTCATGGCCGTGTCTTCCCTCTCATAGATTGTCCTGAAGTTCATTTGCAGGAGCTGGGCTAGAATGAGACACCAGCACCTGGGAACTGTCTGTGTCGCACTGCCCGTGGGGCACAGCGCTCTAGTTTTCCCCAGATTGTGGGGGAAAGCAAGACTTCCACTTTATATGGCAAACCCGGTACTTTGGGGAAGACAGTAATCTTGGTATCAGAATGTGGTAGGCTCATGTGTGTGTACACACACACACACACACACACACACACACACACACACACACATCACCCCACCCCCACGTGAGCTTACAGTGTTTGTTTGGACTTTTGGAGTGTGACTGCTTGGCATGTATCTCCCTGTTCTCCTTCGGGCTTGTCACCGCCATGTGTCTGGTCTACCTATTAATCAAAGACACATAGCACGTTTGTTTTATCAAGTACATCCTGTTTCCACTTTCCCCAAAATGAGCAGTACAGGCAGCCCTGGGGGGCTCCTGAGATCCTGTGTGCCTGTGTCTTTAAGAACTGGTAGGTAAGTCAGAAGGGGCAGTGCCTTTCCTAGTTAGCCTTTCTGCAGAGCAAGAAGGAGCCCTGCGGGCTGGGGGTGAAGTGTCCTGCTGGGAACAGAAGGGTCAGCAGTTTGAATCCTCAGCCACTCACAGGGGAGAGATGCAGCAGTCAGACTTTAGGAAGTCTTGCAAACCCTGTGGTGGCACTTCTCCATCCTAAAGGGGCACCACGAGTCAGAATTGACAGGGCCGCAGTGGGGTAGTACCAGAAAGCTTTTGGATGATTTAAAAGCTGCACCGCTGGGAATGAAGGTGATTGTGATGAGGTTGTTGCAAGTGGTTGGTTGGGGCATTTCAGAGTGAGGACAATCTGACATAACCCTCAAGGGCAATTAGGAGTTCGTTGTCTGTGAGTTGAGCTTCTCTAACTGAGGCCTGCCTGAAATTCTAAAGCATGCCTCACTTCCCTTTCTCTATCACACAGCGCAGTGCCAGGAGGGTTCCCCATCTGCATCAGACCTATGGCACCCTGAGCCCCGACACTGCACACTGATTCCCGTCTGTGGAGGATTCTTTAAAACTGACCACTCCGTGCCTTTTCCCCAGATTCGGAAAGATCTGAGGAATAGATGCAAGATTCCCATGAGAATTAAAATAGCTGATTCGCTACCAGTAAATTCACAGCTAGATTAGGAGACCTAGTGGGTGAGGGGGTGGGGGTGTAGTTAAGGGCTTGCCTGATAATCTAACGGTCTAACCCACCCGCCTCTGTAGGAGAGAAAGATGTCATTGGCTAGATCTGTAACCCTGAAAACCCCATGGGACAGTTCTGCTCTGTCCTGTCAGGTCACTAAGAGTCGGAACTGACTTAACAGCGATGGGGTTTGGTAAGGTAGATTAGAAAATATGGATGGAGCCCAGTAGAAAGTGATGTCCCCTCTCTCTGTTCCCCTGAAATGCGCTCACCTTTCTAGCAACAGAGGAACAGCTGGGAACCATACCCTGGCTATTTAGATGCAAACCATGAGAGAAAGGGTCTGATTTTAACCCCAAGCACTATCACCTTTGTTGTTGTTGTTTCATGTCAAATAGAGATGGACAAAGGTGCAAGCTTCATTTCTGTGTATCCTGGAGATTGTTTTTGTTGTTGCTGCTGCTAGGTACTGTGAAGGCTGTTCCAATTTCTAGTGGCCCCACATTGTGTAGACAACAGACACGGCCGGAGCCCCTTGTTGCACCCATTGTGTGGATCCACATCGTAGAGGGTCATCATCTTGTTCGCTGGCCCTCTACTTTACAAGCTTACTGCCCTTCTCCAGGTGGTCTCTCCTGATCGTACATCGAGAGTAAGAGAGACCAAGTCCCGTGCCCTCACTACTAAAAGCACTTAATTGTACGATTTCAACATAGCCTTGTTTTTCCAGTAGTCCATGGTATGTTGCATATCCTTCGCTAACACTACGATTTATTTCCAAGGCATCGATTCTTCTTCAGTCTTCCTTATTGTTTGTCCAACTTCCCCGTGCTTTCGAGGTCACTGAAAATGCAGTGATTTGGGTCAGGCACACCTTCGTTTCCAAAGAAACACTTTGGTTTAACACTTTAAAGAGACCCTTTGAGCAGATTTCCGGACTGCTGCTTCCATGAGTATTGATTATGGATCCAAGTAGAACGAGCCATTTGACCACTTCATGGTTTATAGTCCCGTTGCTGATTGGCCCAGTTGTCGGGATTTGGGTTCGTTAGTCTGAAGTGTAATCCGGGTCCAAGGCTGTAGTCTCTGGTCTGCATCAGGAGTGCTTCCTGTTCTCTTTGTGTCCAGCAGGCAGGTTGCTAGTTGCTGACGAGTCTCCCTCCGACTCTAGGGGTGCATTATCCTGCACGGAGCCCGTACTTCCACACATTCGGTCAGCACTCAGACTGTAGAGGGATGGTGAAAGGACACAACAATGTCCTAATTTTAAACAGTATCCCCTGGCTCTATGTATGTTTCTCGTGAGCATAATTGATTTTGGAATTCCAGTTCTTCATAATGTTATCCATAATTTGCTATTATCCACATAGTCGAATGCCTTTCATTGTCCATAAAATGCAGATGAACATCATTTTGGTATTCTGTGTTTTCGGCCAAGAGCCATTGACCATTGGTTCCTGCATTCTATGTCCTCTTCTGAATGCAGCTTGAATTTCTGGCAGCTCTTTTTCACTGTGCTGCTATAACTATTGTTTTTTTCATTGCCTGTAGCAAAGTTTTACTAGCATGTGATATTATTGGTGTTGTCTGATAATTTAGAATATCCACATTAGTGGAGCAAGCAGAAAATATGGAAATAGAGAAAGCAGTGAGCTCCTTAAAGTATCACGTTTCTACATACTGTTCCTCCGTCGAAGGAGCCTGGTGGTCCTGTGGTCTAGGTACTGGGCTTCCAACCACCAGCTGCTCTTGAGGTGAGACAGTGCTGTCTGCCCCTGTAAAGACTTCCGGTGCTGGAACCCCTATGTAGTATGGTCACTGTGAGTCAGACTCAATGGCAGTGGTTGGTTACCTCTGTGCCTCGTTGGGAGAATATGTTACTTTCAACATAGCTGGGCATGGGGGTCACATGTCTACTCCAAACACAGGGTTTTGAGTAGCCATTCTTCCCTTTGAAATGAATTTAACCTCAAATTGAAAACTTCTTGAGATTTCTACCCTCTGGAAATAAAAATTAATAGTGAACCACTATGAAAAGTATAAATATATGACAGTGCGTGGCATGCAGCTATGAAGCAGTGCATGGAGACGACTCTGCAGCTGTGATGACCTCCAGCAAAAGGCGGAGAGCCAAAGTCAATGTGCCAGCTGCGAAGCAAAGAAGGAGTCCAAAGAGGGAAGGGAGGAAAAATAGAAGCAGAAATGAACGTTCCAGAAAGCAGACGAAGGCTCTTGAAAGCAAATATCAGGACTATTACAAGACTAAGGAAAATGAAAGCCTTCCAAAAGGAACAGTAAAAAGTTCCAACATCAGTACAAGTGAACAGAAATGAAAACAGTTTCATGTGTATACCTCTCACCCGCCGCCTCAGAATCGATTCTGACTCCCAGCAACCATACAGGGCCGAGTAGAACTCCCCAGTGGGTTCCAAACATTGTGAGTCTTTACAGGAGTGATGCCTCGGATGCTTTCTCCCAGGGAGCCGCTGTTGGCCTTACCACGCAGGTAGCAGTGGAGTGCTTAGCCAGAGTTCCTGCTTACAGTTATTCTAAATACTGAAGGAATAAAATAGGGTATTTTTTTAAAAGGGTAAGCAAGATAAAAATGTTAAATTTAGATAAAATGCCTAAAACCCTAGGAAATAATACAGCCTTTAAAAAATTAACCCAAGAAGAAATTGAGGCCTAGACTAGTCCTATATTCTTTAAGGAAAATGAGTCCCTCTTTTAAATGTTACCATTTAAAAAATGCATACTGGCCTGCATGCAGCTTTAGAATAGGGTGACCAGACGTCCCGCTTTTGGCAGGACAGTCCCGATTTTTAACAATTTTTCCTGTGTCTCAGGGTATTTTTAAAAAGTCCCGATTTTTGGAAAGAATGCATGACAAGCTAGGGTATACGGTTTTCAGCTGCCATGGGGCTATTTCGCCAGGATGTGAGTTTTATCAATGGTGTCCCGCTTTTGTCCCGCTTTACCAATGTTAAAATCTGGTCACCTTACTTTAGAAATAAGTTATACTGAGCATTCGAGGAGCTGATAACTCCAATCTTTTCAAAGAATTAGGGAATACTTCTTAACTACTTTAGAGGTAAGTCAACTTTATAGTAAAATAAGACTGAGTGCAAGAAAGGATAATCACAGGCCAGTCTCACTAAAAAGAAGAGCTAAGAGGCTGTAAGATTCTGTAATGCTGGACTCAAATCTTTTTTTGAAACAACCCCTCAGAATTGTCTTTGTCCAAGGATGCTGTGTTGGGGAGCTAGAAACCTACAGGCAATGAGCCTAAAGAAGTACATTTAGATTTGATTTCCTGAGAAGCAAAGTTTCAAATAGTTGCATTTCTCCTTAGACTTTATCCCTTAGGTATATTCTACCACACAATTTTATAACCTTAGTTATTTTTATGATATTCTTTTTTTCCCCCTTGATTTATTATTATTTCTTTCTTTAAAGATACTTGGGAGTCCACAGCGTCTTTGTGATTTGGCCGGACCCAGCTCTACGGAACCAGAATCCAGAAAGAGATCCATTTCAAAAAGAAAGTCGCATCTGGATCTTCTCAAACTGTATGACGCACTCCCTACCGGGTTCTCCACGGCTTTGTTTAGACAGCAATTCTGACACTTTAAACCAGGCCTCAAACCGGCTCAGTCATGGCGGATGCAGTGAGATTGGAACAGACCCGCATCTGCATGATGTGGTTGAACCAGAATAGCAAGGGGAAAGTGATGGAATGGGAGACCTGGGAAAGGTGGAGTGAGCTCTTTCGGGAACCTGGGGCAGGGCAGTGGGTTATTTCCAGTACCGTTGTGAGGGACACACCTTCCAAGCAACACAGCCAGCCATCTTTGGGCAGGGCATCGTTGTTTCTGACTCAGCCGGTCAAGAGGTTTGGTTGCTGTGCAACACATAGGCTACCCTGGTTTTTTAAGAGGGGAATTAAGCTTCTAACAGGGGGTTAACCCATATGTCTTCCCATTTCAGTGATGGTTCTTGTGTGCATTTTATAAATTTGGGTCCATTCTGGTTTTGCTCTGCCATCTGTGACTGACCCAGGAAGAACTAGTTCAAAGCCCTGCTTTCCACCTGGTTTCCAAACCCAGGACTTTTTTTTTTTATGAGTGTGTACAACATGAAATGTGATCATTCAAAAATGCATCCCCAGGAGGGAGAAGAAAGAAAATGAGAAGCTGATACCAAGGGCTCAAGTAGAAAGAAAATAGTTTGAACATGATGGCAACATATGTACAAAAGTGCTTGAAACCATGGATGTGTATATGGGTTGTGATAAGAGCTGTAAGAGCCCCCAATAAAATGACTTTTTTAAATGCACCCACAAGCCATGTGAGAAACCTGATCTCAATTTATTATAGTCATATATTTTATACATTTTCATTCTGACATCAAGAAAATCCAGTGTACAAAATCATATATTTAAAAATTACTCACTGTGGTTATTCTGGGACTAGATTTTTTTTCCACTTACCATGTTGAACTATAAGACCCTTTGTGTGTTGCCCCGGTAGAGGAGTAACACATCTGATTTGCCACAGTTGGATGTGCACATTCCTCCTCTAGATTAGGATCATTGTGAGGGGCAGCCCGACATGCCCGGAGGGGCAGCATCACTACTTTCTGTTTGCAAACTGGCCGTCATCCGGCAGTGAGACTTTAACAAGGTTGTGCTCAGAATGTGAATTCCCATCAGGAATGATGGTCTGTGCCCGCCTACCACGAGGGCATGTGACTCCTGGTGGGCCACTTGTCCTGGAGGTCATTGCCTGCCGGCTGAGCATGCTTTCTCTCAGTTCTTGTTCACTCGCGTACTGGCCAGTTTCCATTTCTGTCAATCCAGGTGCTGCTTTGAATGCTCTTCTTTCCCTCACTCGAACCATTCTGGCTCATTGTGGAACTTTTTTCTTTCTTTCATGCATTTCTCCCTTTGCCCAGCATCATGGATGGCATGGCTGAGGCCTGCAGCAAGGGAGGCATCGAAGCTTGCTATGCCGCCGTGTCCTGCGCCTGCACCCTCCTGGGGACCTTGGACGAGCTCAGCCAGGGCAAGGGCCTGAGTGAGGGGCAGGTCCAGCTGCTGCTGCTGCGCCTGGAAGAGCTGAAGGATGGGGCGGAGTCGAGCCGCGACTCCATGGAGATCAACGAGGCCGACTTCCGATGGCAGCGGCGAGTCCTGTCCTCAGAGCACACGCCCTGGGAGTCGGGTTCCAAGAGGAGCCCCGACATCAGCATCAGCGTGACCACCGACACGGGACAGACCACCTTGGAGGGGGAGTTGGGTCAGACGACCCCGGAGGACCAGTCTCACTACTCTGAAAGCCACAAGAATGGCTTCAGGTCACCAGCCACCCACGAGGACAAAGAGACCCCGAGCAAAGTGTCCGAGCCAGAACCAGTTGACCAACCCGACGTCGTGCAAAGAAGTCACGTGGTGGTTTACCCGGACATAACGAATTTCCTGTCTGTTGACTGCAGGACACGGTCTTACGGGTCCAGGTACAGCGAGAGCAACTTCAGCGTGGATGACCAAGACTTCTCTCGGACAGAGTTCGATTCCTGTGACCAGTACTCCATGGCTGCCGAAAAGGACTCGGGGAGGTCTGACGTGTCGGACATCGGGTCCGACAACTGTTCACTGGCCGAAGAAGAGCAGACCCCCCGGGACTGCCTGGGCCCCAGGTGCCTGCGCACGGCTGCTCTGTCTCTGAAACTGATGAAGAATCAGGAGGCTGACCAGCACAGTGCCAGACTCTTTGTGCAGTCCCTGGAGAGCCTCCTGCCCCGGCTCCTGGCTCTCCCCAGTGTGGGCGAGGTGGACTCGGCCCTCCAGAGCTTTGCCTCAACCTTCTGCTCAGGTTTGTGAACACGTTTTCTTGCTAAGTGGTCAACAAGAAACGTCAGAGCCGTGGTACCCGCATAGGCGGCTGCTGTAGTCCTTAGGGGCTGCGGAGTGAGTTCCGACTCCTAGCAACCGTGTGTGCAGCAGGAACCCTGCCGGGCCAAGCGCCAACCGCATCATTGTGTTTTCGTTTGAGCACATTGGTGCAGTCACCACTGGCAAGCAACCTGTCGAGGACCTTCCTCGCTTTCACTGCTCCTCTGGTCGTGTGTAGTGGGTTTTCGTGTTGGGCTGCTAACCGCAAGGTCAGCAGTTCAAAACCACCAGCTGCTCCTTGAGGGAAGGACGCAGGTTTCTACTCCCGTAGAAAGTGACTGTCTCGGAAACCCTGTTCTACCCTGTCCTGTGAAGCCACTCGCTATGAGTGGGAATTGACTTGATGGCGGTGGTGCTACTTTAGCAAGCACGATGCCCTTCTCCAGGAACCAGAGTCTCCTGACAACGTGTCCCAAACACATGAGACAGTGTCGCCATCCTGGCCTCCCAGGAGCATTCTGGCTGTGCTTCCTCCAAGAGAGATTTGTTTGTTCTTTTAGCAGTCCGAGGTGCTGCCGATGGTCTTCAGCAGCATCATTCAAATGCATCTGTTTCTCGTTGGTCTTAATTCATGGGCGGTTGCCATAAATGCTTAGAGTTTGAAGCCCTCAAAGCATACTGAATAGTCTCTGGGCTTCTTATGTTTAAAGCAAGCAAGGAAATATCAGACTTATTGGTGGGGGGTTGTGTGGTTTCTGTTGCGTTTAATGGCTGGCTTTTACTGAAGTTGATCAGTTGTATGATGTATGAAGTGAAGCATGAGAGGGAGCGGCTGATGACTATAACAAAATACCAAACTGGTTCTGGAACCACCGAATTCTCGATATGCTCCTGCACGTGAATGTGTAAGCATCCTAGAGCAATGCGCCTTTGGTGTGTCGACATGAAAAATAGTTTGAATGCGATCTTGCACCAGATGCAGACTGATTGTTCCACATATATATTTACAGTTTTATTGGCACATAATCCACATATAATACAATTCAATAGTTCAGTTATTTCAAGACTTGTATAATCATTGCCGTAATCCATTTTAGAACATTTTCTTTTCTTCTTATACTCAGAAAACATTTTTTTTAAAACTACTAAAGTGAAACAGAAAAATCTCAATTTTGAAAGAAAATAGCAAACAGTAAAAACTAAAACAAACTTGAAATTTCCCCATAGAGTTTTCATCCCACTAACTGTCCAACCTGGTGGGATTCCAATGGGGCCTGAGAGCTTTAGAGTCCCTGATCCCTGAGCCTTCCTGCCTGTGAAATACCAATATTGTGACCCAGAAATACTGACGCTGGAGGGTCTTCAGGTACATTGGCCAAGCACAGAGAAAGCTAGGCTAGTCTTATTGTTGGGCCAAAGATAATGACCTAAAATTTTGGTGAGAAGGAAAAAAATAGAAGTGGCATTTAATTTAGTGACTAATGGATTTAAAGATAGTTTACTTGCAAAGGAATAAAGAAAGAAACCTTCCTCCTGCGTTCCACATGACTGATGGGTGCATAGAGGCTCCCCATTTGAGAGCAGGAATAGATGATTGCCTGCCATTAGGGAAGTCAGCCCTGCCTCTCCCGAAATTAAAGTCTCTTGACTACAGGACAGGTGGATGGACCCTTGGGCAGGGGGCTAGGCCTGTACTCAGATGTAAAGAGGTGAACCCGGGGGCCAGGAAAGAACTGGCCAAAGCTGATGTCGTCACTTGCTCTTCCATCAGGAGGCTGGGCCGCACGTTTGTGCTCATGCGTCCTCGGCTTTATCACAGTCACTGAGCGTGCAGCCAGCCACCTTCTCACCAAACTGCCAGCGAGCTGCCAGAGAGCTGGGGCCGTGCCTCCGCTCAGTTTTAGTTTTCCAACAAAGTACACGGACACAAACCCTTCTAGCCAGGACTTGGTAGAAACGGAATGATATGTCAGAAGAACTCTTTCAATATGAGGATCATCCAAAATTGTAGCAACCATCACCAGGGGAGATCATAGATCTCTAAATCTCTAAACCGCTAAATCCTGGACTCACAAACCCTCTGGCCTACCTAGTCAGACGATCTCTCAGTTCCCCTCGTCACACAGTGATTTTTTTTTCAAGGTATCAAACCCAAACCAAAGTCACGGCCGTGGAGTCAATGCTGATTCCTGGAGACCCTGGCGGCCAGAGTGGAACTGCCCTGTGAGTTTCCGAGACTAACTCTTTAACACTCCCGTGGAGCGGTTGGTGGTTTCGAAGCGCTGACCTCGCTGTTAGTTCGCAGCCCAAGGTGTAAGCACTCTGCCACCAGGGCGCCACTTTTCAAGATACAAGAGTACTCAGTATTAAGGCTATAAAAGTGCCAGGGACAAAAATGCCAATGATTAAGAGTCATCAATATTTTCTCTCATCATTTTCCTCTGGGGATTAGATACAAAAATGACCTTAGGATTGTGTGTGTGTGTGTGTGTGTGTGTGTTCAGAGGAATCCATATACATAATTTCATATGTCACAGTTATAAGATTGGGGAAACGCATAAAAACTCTTCTTAAAAATTGTATTTCTCCTTAATAACTTTGCATCATTTATCATTGCATTTTATTTTTCTATGGGGCATTCCTGGTGTGTGTGTATGGGGGGGGCAGGTGGTTTGATATCCACACATATCCATCTTAAATCAACATTTATAGAGCAGCTATCCTGTGTAATTGGGCCAAGGATTCAAAGGCTTGTATGGCTTATTCTCGATAAATACTGGTTGATCATAGATTGGTGAGGTTGCTCTTGGGTCCCAAATATGTGAGACTTTTCATAGACTGAAGGTGTCAGCAGAATGCCAGTGAGCTGGGAGGAAGGCTCCCTGCTCTTTAGACGTGGTGCATCGAGCCACTGCAAATATTCCTGGGGAGAAGTGCTTGGCAGCTGGGAAGGCTTGGGTGTCCCTGGTGCCAGGGCAGCAACCCCAACACACACAGGTGGTTCCCAAGGACACACAGCTTCATGAGAGGGCAGCATTGACACTGTTCACAGTCA